TAGGACCTTACCGTCTTATCTTCATAAATTTCCTTGAGGACCGTCCTTCAATCCCATATTTGGCGTCTAACTGTCCGGAATATTTCGATAGCAATGATCCATTTGAAGGACTTAGTTACTATCTGAAGAAAAAGTAACAAGAACTACTTGTGTTTTACTTCTAGGACAGGAGATTGAACACAGGCGGTTCCCACATTTTTCTGGTGCTAAGTACTCGCCGTGGGTTTCACGTTGCGGTTTTTTTCTCACCATAACGGTTTGAAATGAATATGGAAAACGAGTAGAGGAAAATAAAGAAAGAATCGTTTAAGGGAATTAAATGTAGCTCTAAAATTATTATTCCTTTTGAGTATTGCTGAATCCATAACTCCGTACGTCACCGGCCCTCTATAACGGCTGCTACTCAACGCTGCTACAAGAATCGGAATCGAAGGTCAGTGTAAGCGCTGCTGAGACAGTCTGAACTTCAGGATTACAATAATGAAGTGATTACTTGGACTCTGTGACTCGAGACCGATGTCAAATAGCTGAAAAGCAGTCGCATAAGTAATCGACGATAATAAATCACTTGAAGGATGAATAATTGCTTTTTGTTCGCGTATATTTCTCTGTTGATGAATAGAGAAGATCCCTTACTTCCTCCATTCTTACGTTTATGCACATGATTATAATTTCGAGACAAAAAAGAAGTAGGTTATGCATTACCCTCCATGATTGCCGCTCCAAATCCCACTCAAGGCGTCTCTAACGTTTGCCGAAATAGGAGCTGAGCCAGTGACCATTTAATGAACTCGTCCACCCAACTATGCCTATAAATAAGTTGGAACGCATTTAGCATGAGAGAAGAGAAACTTAAGCCATATACTTGCACCTTTCTAAATACTAGCTTATACCGTATACTATTAGTAGTTGTGACATCTTTTTCAGTAGGAACAATTTCATGGAATATGCCAGATTGGACGGGCGCAGTGGTCGGAGGCGTCCTGCAACACACACGTGCCCTCCGCGATCGGCAAATTCGTTACCAGACTTGTTTGGCAGGATAGCAGCACTGATTCGATACTTTGATAGGGTACCACGAGTCATTGTAAAGGCCAAATATTCATTCAGTCACCTACAAACGAAGCTTAATGAAGTCGACTGCATGGATTCCTCAGGGATTGATCAACGCCGAGAGCTTTTAGAGAGCTTTATGCCAGATTGTGCAAAGTAGGAGGAACGAAGCTTTGGTTTCGAACATTTTGCTGGAAATTTCGATTTGAAACCATTGTTAATTTGTTCAGTTCAGACTGGCATGCTTAGTTGGCGGCTAAAGTGGACCTGGATCGAATAGTAAAACTTATTTAGTAATCGTGGCACTACTGTGAAAGAATTCGGTCTGAGTGTCGTTTAGGATGTGCTATAACATGACCAGTGTTGTACTGAGGTGAGAGAAGAAAATGAGAACGGCATTCACACCGTTTCATGGACTCAGTTGGATGTTTCCACTAATGTATGCAATTTGAGCACCATACATAAGCGTCAATCAGTGGTTCGGTTGCTCCATCATATGTGAAAAATGAAGTTAGGAAATGACAGTCCGGAGTCCTTCCGATCCGTAGTATTTTGCTCATTTGCGCTGTATATTAAGTGTTTTAGTTCTCGTATATCGAAAGTTAAAGGCAGGAAGACTAGTATTTGATGCAATTCAGCGTTTCAAGTTGAAAAATGCTGTGGGGAGTTTCCATGCAGCCTTGTGTTTGTCTCTGAAACGGAAACAAAATTCGTGATGCCTTCCGTTGACATTCAAAATGGTTTATCTGGGATGGGATGCATACTAACTGATAGTATGAAAATAAGTAGACGGGAAAGGAGAAGATTGCTTTTCTTCGGTAGGGTGATGGTATTAGTAATGCAGTGCTTCTCTCACCGAATAATTGTTTATAGCGTTAGGAATGAAATGCTCCATTGCCCATGTCAATGCCATGGCTGATGATAGCACTCTTTGGAGTGCTCGTTGTTCCAGAGATGTAGTTGAACAGAAGCAAAGTCATGATCTTAGGATTCGAAGGGTCAGACAATTCTTTAGAGCCAGCAGATCATGTTGGTATCATCTTTATCCGGTAGATACCTTGGTGTTGGATTTTGTTGTGTTACAAGGTTAACTTGTGTCGTAAGTTCTCCTTGGTCACCAAATATTAACTTCATAGATTTGTCGTGTTGAGCTAATCGGATTCCCCTTCCTTTGTGTAGACCTTCCCACCATTATCTGTTGGGCATTTTGTATGCTTCTTGCGTTTTGACCTTTGTTGTGCTGTCTCACATGTACCGTATCAAAATTGAATCCTCAGTCCTCAACCGCATAATTGAGTCACACACAATAACCTGCCATGAAAAGTAATAGGCAGTGAATAAAAAGTTTACATTGTGATTCAGACTGCAGCCTCAACTGGGTTCGTTGCCGGTTTGGGCTCCCCGGATCAATTCTATTGACGCGTGATTGCTGATCGCCTGGTCGATAGAAGTAGCTGAGAGGCAGATGAAGCAAGGTACCCGCATGGTGTGGTTGTGAACGCGCTAGCCCCCGGAAAGGGTAACAGAGCGTTCGTTCCTCACCGCAAACACCTGCGGTCCGGAGTTTTGCAAATATCTCAATGTGGTTGAGTCACGCATAATAGCCTGTCGTGAAAAGTTATAATAGGCATTAAATGAAAAGTTAACATTGAATCTTCCATAAAAACTGTCCGAATTCATGCGATGTATATCTCGCGCGCTAAACGTACAAGTGCCGGAATGTAGTATATATCTGCAGGGAAACAACCATATTAGTTGTTTCTAGTTTACGAAACGATTATCATTACATAAAACTGGTATCTCATTAGATACGTTAATCTCATTACTATGGAAATTTTGTATTAGTTTACTTATACAAAATCGTACTCGGATACTTGTACTGCCCGTCCTCACTGGTTGTGCGAGCCCGAGCAAAATTTCCATTTTTCGGACTTTTTCTAGCTTAGCCATTGTGTTCACTGGCATCCCGAGGGCAGCCTGACCAAAGTCTGACCCAGGTCACGACAGGCAGCCGCAGCCCTTGTGAATCAGAGAGAGATTTGCCACCATGCAACTTTTATACCAGGCCGGTGGTGGAACCTGGTATTGGGTATTGGTTTACTCTTAGCTGGGATACCTAGTGGAAACGCTGGACTGCTTCTCAGCTCAGGAGACCCTGCAGGGAGGATGAATCCCCTAGCTGTACGTCGCAGTCGGACACCTAGGAACGTCTTCCACCCACAATGAGGTGGTAAACCGCTGGAAAGATACAAAGTCGTAATTAACCAAATTTGAAGTACCGGGTGTTGAACAATAAAAGATCTGCGTGGTAGGCCGGTTTAAGATAACCAGCTACCACACGAGCTTTGGTTATTATAAAGGATAAAGGAGGAAGAAGAATAAGTTGCTCACCTTAAAGGACAAAAGGTAAAGCCCTCGGCGTTGATCAATCTCTGAGGGATGCACCATGCATTCGATTTCATTAAGTATCGTTGGAGGTGACTGAATGTATATCTGGCCTTTACAATGACTCGCGGTGGCCTACCGATGCATCAGCCAAGTGCTGGTATCCTCCTAGACAAGTCTGGTACCAATTTCCCGACCCCGGAGGGAGGGAAGGCTTGGTGGGCCATGGGCACGGGAAACAATTCCATATGTTTGTCACAGTGGCGCCTCCAACCACTGCCCCACACGCTTCCTTCGTTATTATAACATCTAATTCTGATCGATATTCCTTAAACGTTTCTTAATAGCTTTTTACTGTCTTTCATTTTCAGGATTTGTTGAGTGCTTGAACTCTTCATCTTCCTCACGTTAATTGGTAGTATTTCCACTTCGTGTAAAACGTTTGATTATAAAATTTTATTTCCTGAACTCACCAACACTTGAGGAAATTGGTGGTTTTTCAGAGAACAGCGTCTCAGCGCTTATTTCTATCTTTTCATCATTGCGACCAAAAATGATTCCATCTCTATTGTTTCTTCATCTCCCGAAGAGTATATCACCATTGATTATGTGAATGACTGCTTCTTCATCTTTTCAGAAGAAGGTTTGTTATTCAATGTTCCAAGTTCCCCACCAACTTTTGTTGGTCGTTTTCGACAATAATTTGTATGTCGTTTTGTTTTCCTGATGAATCAGTGAAGGGTTCGATTTCTCAAAGATTCATGTTAGTTCGAACAGAAAGTGCTTTCGTTTTATACTCTAAAACACTGAAAATTTCTTAAACAATTTAGCGGAACATGTTGATAGTTCGGATTTCGTTGCACTACTGAATTGAAAAAACTAATTCGTGTGTAACCTGTTCAGAGAGTCATAATTTCTAACTAAAAACGACGTGAGAAACGGAATAGGAATGCGATAGTTCCAAATTCGTTTTTGACTCACCGAAGCCGTTCTTGAGCTGGTTGCAGATCTGTCACAGCTCCGCGAGAAATGGCGTATGCTCGCGCAGTCAGCTGTGGGCAGTGGCGATCAGGCGCCGTACATCCTGGCACCGGAACAAGTGACTCTCCTCGTTCTATATGGTACTAGCGTTTTCTCGCATTTTTTATTCGATGTTTTCTGTGTTTTATAATTTTTGTCATGTTTAGGCGCGGCTCGAGTACGCGAATCTATATCAAATTTCAACAAAAATCCTGTCCACGACGACGTATTGAGTGGTTCCTCACAGGTCAGGTCGTTCCTTATTCTGTTCTTGTTCCTAAAATTGTGCATTCTTCATTTCAGAAAATTGAAAACGAACATATTAATTGCTTGACGTCACAAGAAGTAGAAACACAGTTAGTGGGAAAACGAGAAAAATGTAGCGTACAGGGGAGGACTATCATACACTTTGCCAAAAGTATGTTTTTCAAAGATCTTTATTTTCAAGGACTCTCTTCCTATCGGGTTTGTATTCAAATTAACTGCTCAGCTCGCCAGTTCACTGGAAGTTATATCTTGGTCTATTCTTTTTTATTCATTCCATGATGGGTTTAAAGGAGGAAAAGCGTAACGTCTCTACTTATGACAAAAGGCAGTCGAAATACCTTGTTTCAGTAGAAAAAGACAACAGTTTATATCGATGGCTGGACGGCTTTGAAGTGCCAGTACCATGTACTCGTGAATTTCGTGCAAGAGAACTTGTCTATCACGATCTTTGGCGCAAAGGATATTACCTTACGAGTGGCCTCCAATTTGGCTGTACATATTTGGCATATGAAGGTAAAGATAAGAATGTAGTTTCAATATTTGAAAAACGAAGAGCGTTTAGCGCAATGCCTTGGGTGTATACACGTAATCGTTGGTTCGACCATTTGCGATTTGCAAAGCAGGTCACCTAATCTCATGAGTCAGCAGATTGGTACTAGGCTTGCCAAGGAGGATAAAAGCACTGATGTGGTATATCAATAGGTCACCGTAACCCATTGCATAGGCTCAATATACATTCATTCAGTTCTGCGATGCTTGATGGAGTCGAATGCATAGCGCATCGCTAAGGGCTTGATGTGGAACAATTTGTCCTTCTTATTCCTTGTTAAAGAAATCACTCCAATTACTGTTTCATACCGTTAAGGTATACCTGGTGATGTTCATGCGAAGTACCTAGTCGATTTCGTCTTGGATGATGTAAAACTATCTCCTCTAGACATTGCTTCGTTAGTTCGACTTGCAACTCAGGTAGCATGCTTTTCCACATTTTTTTTGTCAACAATTTGAAAAGTATAGAAAATTTGAAGCAGCTGTTTTCAGGTGAAAAAAAGCCTAGTGGTAGCTATAGTGGCATCAGACAGCCATCAACCACAATATATAAAGTTCGATTGGTTCAAACCCTATACAGAGGAACGTGAATGACTTCTGCCCTTTGACGTAAATAGGATAAAAGTGACTGTTCATAATAACTTCTTTTGTTGTTTTGCTTAGGAAGTAAAAATGTTAAAGAATATGTGAAAAAGTTGGAACGAAAGGTGGGTTTAGAAACGTTTAGGGTGATCACAGTTTCGAAGCCCACCTGAGGGTCCGAGTTTTGCTCACATTTCAGCATCCTTGTGGTTGTATTTCACATAATACTTTCCGATGAAAAACGTTACACAGTAAATAAAAGTTAAACATATTACAAAACAGTTTAGAAGACGACTTTTCTTAAACCTCGACAAAAATAAACAATAGTTTTCTCCATGACTGAGGCGACACGAGGTTAGTACAGAAACCTACTCGGCAAACGTCTCGGCGCCTTCGCCTTCTTCACGGCTGTGTTGGATCCGAGCAGATGGTCCACAGAAGATCGTTGTCAGGAAGTCCTATATAAAAGGGTATCAGCGAGTGTGCGAAGAACGGAACGGCGCCAAGACGTTAGCCCAATAAAAGTTTTTATACCAAAAACACGTTAGCTCAGTCGTGTAGAGAATTATTACAGAACAGCCGTAATGATGCTGAGATATTTGCAAAACTGTGGACCGCAGGTGTCTGCGTTGGGGAACGAACGCGCTGTTACCCTTTTCTGCGGCTAACGCGTTCACCACCACATCATGCGGGTCCTTCGTTCCCACGAACACCTGCAGTCCGGAGTTTTGCAAATATCTCAGCATCATCACGGTTGTATTTCAGATAGTTCTTTGCCGTGAAGAATTGTAATAGGCAGCAAATAAAAAGTTAACATTATTACAGAACAGTATTTTCCAAAAATGTTTTTGTCGTACTTCTATTTATACTGTCATATTGGCTGTTGCACGTTACTGGTAGCTTTATGAAATTCACTCGTTCAAGAGTCGTGGTACCGGAAAGGATGAGATTTGCCACTTTTAATGCTGAGAAATTTGCTATCTAGATCCTCTCAAAGGTTTTTTACATTGATAAATATAAAGAGCAGCTTTTTCGGTCCGATGCCTGGTACTAGTCTGTGTTCGGTAAGACACCGAGTATGTACAATTGGCTCCGTGCAGCAAAATTGAATTTGCAAAGCAGCAGTGGCGGGTAAGGAGATGAATTTATATCAATCCATGCTACCAAGTCTGACGTTGGGATTGAGAAGAAATCAACTTGATCGATGTGTACGTTTTGGCTAGTAATTCAAAACAGCAATTTTCTATAAACCTCGCCATAAGCAATCGATGTGTCTATGTACATTCTTATTAATTGCCTTTTTTGAGCTGATGCGAGGTTGTAAAACTTGTCGTTGTTGTTGTTCGATGGTTGACGTTTCGGCGACTTCGTCTTCCTCAAGGTCTGTTCGTTTTCCATGTAACAATGCCTTTATAACTCGGTGAAATATCGTTGGTGCTAATGAAGACCTAGCAAATATATGAACGTTATTTTGTTTAGAGACTCCTCACCGTATTGCTCCTTTTGCGACAATTGGGGAAACAGAAAGACCACTGTGTTCGAATAAAAGAACACCTAGATCGGAAACTTGAAATTCGGCAGAGTACTCCACTATGTACACAGGGCGGAAAAACAACGATGATCGTTTTGGAGTGTTCTTAGGATTTTACTGCGTGTATCAAAAACGTCAACGCGCAAGACTCTCGAAGCGTTTTGGATAAATTTCGAAACCCAAACACTAATCGTAAAGGCGAATGCCTTACTATCACTCCTGACCTAGCGCCTTTTTTAAATCGATTTTTTGACATGGGTGGGTCTCACTATCCATCCCCTGTGAGCAACACACGGATAGTACCAAGGTATCCTTAGATAAAATACGTTCAGGCTCTCAATAACGTGAACTCGCCGAAACATCACCCTTTGAACCACAACGGCTCCTTATTCCAACTTCGCGTCCGCTCGACAAAGGCAGTTCATAAGATTGTCTGTACATATATTGATTTTAACTAGTAGCTTTCGAATTTTGGAATCAGCGAATGTCTTAACTGCTTCTTCCGCAATGAATCTTGTTAAATTCTGTTCCACTTGGTTCATGGTGGAGTACTGAAACATCAGAAGCTTTTCCACTCGGATTGCTAGGAGTGAAATCTTCCCAGACAAGTACGGCATTAATTTCACGACCCCGGAGAGATGAGATGCTTGGCGAGACCTGCGCGGAGTCAAAACCGCACCTGCACAAAATGTTCGATATCAGTCTAAACTTAGTAAGAACTCAATTATTATGCAGGCAGTCTTTCGTACTTTTCTATTCGTCCATGTGTAACATTAATAAAATGCCTTCCGTATTCGATAAACATTTTCTCTAAAAATTCCACAGAAAAATTTAAGATTTCTTGTATTGGTGAAGGATACCTCACCAGTTAATTGTTTATCGCATCACCTTGGCATGTAGTGATTTTTGGGTGATAAAATGTTATGTGTAGCAGTGTGTTATTACACCGGAAAGGTTCTCACATCGGATTTCTAGAATTCACATTGTATTGATTGGCCCAGTTGGATATGGAGTAGCAAAATAGTCGAGTTTGTCCTCTGCCCACTAGCTGTTGATGGAATGCTTGGTTTCCTTAGTATGCCACGCGGGACTTCCTTTCGCGTGCTTATGTGTGCCGCAGAACCTCGAACTTGGGTAATTAGACCGTCTGTACACAATATCTACATGACAATGCAATGAGACTACAAATGTATGTACAATATACAGTTCTTCCCAATGGTTTACCGCTTCATCGTGGCTGCGAGGTTTTTCTGGGTGTCAGACTGCGACGTACAGCGGGAGATTCATCCCGTGGCAGAGTCTCCCAAGCTGAGAAGGAGTCCGGCGTTACTATCAGGAAACCTAGCTAAGAGTAAACCAATACCAGGATCCACCACCGTCCCAGTATCAAAGTCGCATGGTGGCAAATCTCCCTCCGATCCACAAGGGCTGCGACTGTCTGTGATGGTGAAGACGGGCAGACTTTGGCCAAGCTGACCTCGGGATTCCGGGGAACCACAATTGTGCTAGTTACCCAGTGGATTAGAAAGTTGATCGGATTTGTCTTTTGTCTGCCAACTGTACGTGGAATGCTCGATTTTATATGAATTTGTCATCCGAGACTTTTCTTCGTAACTGCTTTGAACGACCTCGAGTTTGGGTTTTAACAGTTTATAGCAACAACAACGATACAATAATAATGTATGATATTTGACGATATGTAAGCAGGCTGGATACGAGCGAGATTAAAATGTGAACAAGTGACACATTAGAAGGAAGCTAGGCGGACACGAGTTGAGGCACTGAGGAATTGAGGGACTGGAAGATAAGCACAGGGGTTGGAACCCAAGCACTGGTAGATTGGAAGGCAGACACTAGTCTCTATGACTGCCGGTGCTCCCTATATTTTGTCTGTAATGGGTAGGGTTTTACAGAGGGAGTCAGAGAAAGTGCTGATTCAAGGCATGGCACGGTACATGCGGAGCAGTACATCAAATGATACGCGTTCCAGAAGCTTCCTTAGCATAGAACTTAATCAGATAGCGAAGGAATAGCTTGTAGAGAAAGGTTAGCAAGACACACCCGGGATCAAAATATCATTTTGAAATAGGGCTCCAGGTCACGCGTGATAGTGAGGCATTCGTCTTTCCGGTTCATCTTTGGTTTTTTGAAATTTACCCAAAACACCTCAAGAGTTGCGCGTTGATGTTTTTGATTCCTGCGCTTGGATCCGCACATTCACTTCAAAATCATCGCCGTGGTGCTTTTGAGCTCTATGCGTACCTAGAATAGTATTTAGACGGATTTTAGCTCTTCCATCTAGATGTTCTTTTATGCGGACACAAAGTGGTCTACCCGTTTCCCCGATATATTCCTCGCCGCATGCATTACATGAGATCAAGTATATTATACCTAAACTCTTGCAATCCCCGTCTCTCCCGTTAGGACAGATCATACAGTTTTCTGAGCTGCACAAACGATCATAGAGACGATTTCGAACTAACTGGTGGCGTAGGGTATTGGGTGGGATGTCAACAATCGTTACATAATTTTCAAGACCACTTTTTCTTAAGCACTTTTTTAATGGCGTGACTTACTTCATTTGATATGAAAGGCAGCTTAAAGGGGATCTTACTTTCGTCTGAAATATTATTTTGGGAAACTACCCAATGTTTTCCTCTAACCCGAGTGGCTTCTACTTCGTAGCCATTGGAAATGGCAATTTTTCGTGCCAGGCTTCGCGATCCCTTCCTTTCCTCTTCTCCTGTACACACATTTTTAGCCGTACGATACATATTTTTGATAAGTGCTTTTTTTATGTGTGAAGGATGAGAGGAGAGGCAGTGAACCAGAATATTCTTACCACTTGGCTTGCGATACCATTTTGTTAAATAGCCACTTACTGAGAGCTTTATTTGGATGTTTAAGAATGGAAGCCAGTTCTCGGTAGTTTTTTCTCGTGTAAATTTTATATACTCTGGCTGTCGGTTTAATAATTCAAGGCACTCATCCATCCGTTCTTGTGTGGAACAGACGATGAAGCAGTCGTCTATGTATCGACAGTAGAGTAAGGGTCGGTGATCGAGAACTGGAGCTTCCACCTTAGACATGAAAGCGATGGCAAGGCTTGGTGCTAAACGCTGCCCCATCGCCAACCCTCTAATTTGTGCAAAATATTTTCCAGACCACCTAAAGATTGAACANTGCTTTTTTTATGTGTGAAGGATGAGAGGAGAGGCAGTGAACCAGAATGTTTTTACAACTTGCCTTGCGATACCATTTTGTTAAATAGCCACTTACTGAGAGCTTTATTTGGATGTTTAAGAATGGAAGCCAGTTCTCGGTTGGTTTTTCTCGTGTAAATTTTATATACTCTGGCTGTCGGTTTAATAATTCAAGGCACTCATCCATCCGTTCTTGTGTGGAACAGACGATGAAGCAGTCGTCTATGTATCGACAGTAGAGTAAGGGTCGGTGATCGAGAACTGGAGCTTCCACCTTA